GTCAAGCATAGTGTATTTTGAAATTGAAACTTATCTGGATGAGCATCTGGGTTTTGTTTTGTTCTACTCTTATGGAAACTGAATGGCAAGCCTAATTTGCAGTTCTGCACGGTTTTCAGACTCTTTACCTAGAAAGTTATTTATAATACAGAATGCTAACCTGAAGATTAAAAACACATTGTTATTATCCAAAGTCAACTTTTGTGACTACCCAATCACATATTGGCACATTATACAACAAGTAACAGCCACCCACTTGGAAAGAAACTTCATACACAGCATTCAAAATTATTGAAGTGTCTAGTTATGCTTTATCTTTCACAAATGACTTGACCATCTATTCAACTAAAACTGGTTCTCCAAGGGTCTTCAAAATTTGAACTATCACTCACAGCACACAAAAAGATGCCATCAAATATTTCTTAAATCTAACAACATTCTGTGTATCTCCAACCCATGCAAGGCTGGACTGATGACTATGTTGGATAGAAGTCTGCAGATACCCTGTCAGGATGAGACGTCCTGATTGCATAGAGGGATGCAGGAAAGAAGTACGCTAGTGCATAAGCACTAAAGATGAAAACAAAAGAGTCTACACAGGCTGAATATTCCAACAAGTGTACATTCTGCACTTACTAGCTTGCATTGCATTGCTTTGCCCTGAAGTTTTATCACTGTTGAACCCTGTCAACTAAATATCCCTCTAACCATTCTAGAGGAAAAAATAAAGAAATCCCAAGCAACTTTTTTTGGCTGCTGCTGCATCGACTCTGCATATCCAAGTGACGTTCAACTTCACAAAAAAACACTACAAGAGAATTCCTTGGAAGCGTTTCAGAAACACATGATCCCATGCTCTATTTTGATCCCTCTGGTATGCAGGATACCAACTTTTGGTACCTTGCCTCTCATGGGATATTTTGTATAGCTCATCTAGCACACATTAAGACTTCCATGAAATCCCAGAAAAGAATGGAAAGGAAACTCAAGTCACATATAATTGATTAGCTTTTGCATTGTATGTTTTCCTATATACTTAAAATTTCCTCAAACCACTATTGCTAGGTAAGACTTGAGCTAACCCTTCCAAAGATATTCTTGAGCAGCTAATTAAATGTGCAGGATCATCTTCCCAGGCAGCTCTGGTTTAGCACACTTATCTTCCTGATTAAAAACCTAAAATTTCTTGGTTGATAATATTCTGTAAGTGACACAGACCTCTCTGCTGTATTAGTGGGGAAAAAAAAGCCAACAGAACAAACACCACCCACGCTCCTTCCGTACCCTCTGCCCCCAAAAATAAACTGTTTAAAGATACATTTCTAGATTATCTCCACTACAGACATTTTGCATCCAGCTTACCAGAAAGTGAAAAAAATACAGTGAATCCCTAATATCTAAATGTATATTCTTCCTAAATTTAAGATTTTATTTTCTATTTTTAACAACTACATTTGTTAAAAAGGGAATATACTTGTGAGATTTCAGCCCAGTTAAAGGAGCTTCTGCCAGATTGCTACCAAGAAAAAGTATATTCAAGCAGCAAAGCCGTATCAGTATCACATTATTTCGTTCTATGCCAATATAGTGTAATTGTCTCAACTTTACCAAAAGCTTTATTTTTTGTTATGCCACAGTTTGTTCAGCTTTGCGATATCTAAAATATCCAATAAATGCATGACTTAAGTACTAATACTAATATTTTTTAGGCTATATTCATGCTCAAAGAGTCCAGAGTCCTGCACTGCTAAAATAAAGCATTCAGCTATCTCACAGGCTACAAGCATGCATAAATTGCCATATTACTCTCATCTGACCACAGCTACTTTTCCCTGCATTTTATTCCGCCATCTGGAAGGCCTAACCCTACTGGTGAGTGATAGTTTCCTTGGCGCTGCTTTATTTTAGTGCATATGCCTGCCAAAGATAGAACTCGGTCACCATGAAACTCAATTACACCAACAGACTGGATAATGTCCAAAATAAAAATAAGCCTATCAACTCCATCTGACTGTAAGGGTTCCCCAGCAGAATTTAAGCTTTCCTTGCTCTGCTTTTTCTTCAACAACTTCAGGATTAAAGCATGATGTTTACACTGGCATATAGTTTTAAGCACCAAAATTCTTTACAGGAACTACACAACTACTTGTGCAATTATTTTGAAACAGAGCTTTTTACCTTCATTTTTTACATTACTAGTCTGCAAATCTGTAGGGTGGCCTTGAAGTGAAAGACGAGGTTGCTGTAAACGGCTAATCATAGGCTGGGGTGAAACTCTGCTGTATTCTATGCTTCGAGCAGGTGATCGAGAGCGAGGTGAATTCCTTGGAGACTGTTTTGGTGAAGGCCAGGGAGAACTGCGAGGGGACGGTGAGAACCTATTAACAGCAGGGTGCACTGTGTGATGCGTGCCATCTTCTTCATCTTCTAAACTCTGTGCATCAAGCTCCTGATCGCTGAATGTGCCTCGCCTTGTAGAATTGCAAGAAGAGCCAGAACTACGCCGAGAAGCACTTGCTGCATACTCTTGCCGGAGGCCTGGCAACCATGAGAACATTGTTTTAACTGTTTTCAGCCCACAAACGGTTCAAAGTAGAGACAATACATACCAATTATCTACCCAGTGCTGAAACTCAAATGTGGCTCACCTTAACTCCTTTTATTTAAGGCATTAATTCCAGATTACTACCAACAAAAGTTCTCTACCAGCTGATAATATCTTGAAATAAGTAGGTCAGCTCATTCCTTTTCTTACTACAGCAATCATCAGTATAGGTGTGTTGTGTACTTGTTCATCTCCTCTCCCAGGCTGGATATGAGCAGCACAAGCTACATCTTAATTTTGGTATCATGTAACATAGTAATAGCAGCCATGATGACATGTCTCTTCCAATGTATTAGTAAATGTAACAAAACAGCTGTATGATAAGCTACCCCTAGAGAAACTAGAGTTTTTAAAACCAGTGGTCTCCAAAGTGGAATGCACACACCCCAGGGGTATGCAAAACAAGCCACTCATAGGTGTAAACAATAAAAAAGACAAGTCTGGAGACCACCTAGTTAGACAAGTGAAATTACTGCCACTTTTTGCAGTCTCAAGGGACAAAAAAGACTAAGTCTCAGCTAAACCTATAACAAGAGATACATCTACACAGGTGTTTTTCTTAACTATTCTTTGCCCTATTGACTTTACATTTTGGTGATTTAAATCATGGTTTAAGCACTGATGTCAACAACACAGGATTAGATCAAGAAGGCACATATCTTCTGAGAAGACTGGTGGCAAGCAGTAGCCCAGTCTAACGATCACCCTTTTAGCATGTAGTAAGTACATGCTACAAGTTCACACTCTCTAGCATTTCTTTTGTCCACTGTTCCTAAAGAACACTTCTGCAGAGCAACTTCCTTTCCTTATCCTGAAGGCAGAAGTTTTTTGCCAACCTTCTCAGGAAAACTACATTTGTACATCCATAATAGAATCTACACCCCTTTTTCCATTCCTGCTAAGCAAGTGCTAATGAAATTATTCAATTTAAAAAGGAAAAAAAACAATTGCTCCACTTTGTTTTCAAAATGGAAAATACCTACTTTCTTCCTGCATTCGTGCTAGAATTTGCACATCTGTAACATCATTTAGCTTGTAATTAGACCCAATAGAGTCTTCATCCATCTCTGATGCACTTAATTCACTGTCCAGAGAAGACTGCGGACTTAATGGAGGATTTCTATCTGCTGCACTTTTAAGATGACCTACAGAAAGAAAATAAATAGGAAATGTTTAAAAATAATAAAAAGGCAAGCTGTATCATTTCCTAGTGAAAGAACCACCAATCTAAGAACAGATTAAGAAGAGATTCTGACTGAGCCTGACAGGCAATTCTGTCTGACGAACAGCTCCACATGACCTGGCAGTAGGTGCCTGCATCCCAGAAAGCTGACTGTATGCTGGGCTGCATCAAAAGGAACATGGCCAGCAGGCTGGAAAAAGGGTGATTCTCTGCTTATACTCCACTCTCATGAGTGCCAATTTGGAATACAGCATTCAGCTCTGGGGTCCCCCAGTATAAGAAGGACATGGAGCTGTTAAGAGCTAAAGCCAGGGGAGGGCCATGAAGATTATCAGAGGCTGGAGAACTTCTCCTATGAAGACAGACTGAGAGAGTGGGCTTGTTCAACCTGGAGAAGAGAAGATTCCAGGGGCACTTTAGAGCAGCCTTCACGTACCTAAACGGTGCCTATGAGAAAGCTGGAAAGAGACATTTTACAAGTGCATGTAGTGATAGGACAAGGGGGAATGGCTTTAAATTGTTTATACTGATGACTGCAAACCCTAATGGAATACCTTTGATTAAAATACATGCTTCTTCCTTTGATTATCTTGTTCACGTCTCTGAGGTACTGATGGATACACACTGCATACCACATGTTGCAGTCAATAAGTAACAGGGTTGTTGCCAAGACTTTACAACTACCAGCACCTAACCTTTAAACACCTACTATCGCAGTCAATTACATGGCCAATTCTAGAAGCCATTTATGTATGTGGAGTTGGGACTTCATGGAACTAAAGCTACATGTTTTTGTCTAACTGCTAAAATGCATCAGTGATTTCATGGACATGGCCATCCAGAGAAAACACTTCAAACCTATCTTATGCCAGTAAGTCTGTAAAAAAAGCCTTTCTTAAAAAGCTTAAGTACTGCATGATGCAAACAACCTACAAAAGACTGACAAGGTTTTGGTATCTTTCTTACTCTAATACAATACAGATATCTATTTGAGCACATGTTTTTGAAAGGAAGAGGAGGAAGAAGTAAGGGAGAGAGGAAACACACATATTTACCTGAGGTAACAGGAGGTATGAGCTGTTTCACTAAAGCAGATTTCATTGGTGTTGAAGAGGGAGAGTTGAAACCACTGCTGTAGGGGCTACTGGTATTTGGACTATAGGAACTCGAATAACTGACCGCACTGAAAGGGCCGCTGTACAAACTCTGTCTCTTGAGAGCTGTATGAAAAAGGAGGAAAGCAACAATTTATACTGAAGGAACCAATGAGAAATGAATACAACCCTATATGGTATCTTCAGTGTGATTTAATTACTACAGAATCATAGAATAGTTAGGGTAGGAAAGGCCCTTAACACCATCAAGTTCCAACCCCCCTGCCATGGGCAAGTACATCTCACACTAAACCATGTTTCCCAAGGCTCTGTCCAACCTGGCCTTGAACACTGCCAGGGAGGGAGCATTCACAACCTCCCTGGGCAACCCATTCCAGTGCCTCACTACCCTCGCAGTAAAGAATTTCTTCCTTATAACCAATCTAAACTTCCCCTCTTTAACCTGTTACCCCCTATCCTATCACAGTATCACAGTATGTTCACTACAGTCCCTAATGAAGAATCCCTCTCCAGCATACTTACAGCCCCCCTTCAGATACTACAAAGCTGCTATGAGGTCTTCACGCAGCCTTCTCTTCTCCAGGCTGAACAGCCCCAACTTTCTCAGCCTATCTTCATACAGAAGGTGCTCCAGTCCCCTGATCATCCTCACGGCCCTCCTCTGGACTTGTTCCAACAGATCCATGTCCTTTTTATGTTGAGGACACCAGAACTGTACACAATACTCCCAGTGAAGTCTCATGAGAGCAGAGCAGAGGGACAGGATCACCTCCTTCAACCTGCTGGTCATGCTCCTTTTAATGCAGCCCAGGATACGGTTGGCTTACTGGGCTGCGAGCGCACACGAAGCTGGTTCATGTTCATTTTCTCATCAACCAACACCCCCAAGTCCTTCTCTACAGGGCTGCTCTGAATCTCTTCTCTGCCCAGCCTGTAGCTGTGCCTGGGATTGCGCCAACCCAGGTGCAGGACCTTGCACTTAGCATGGTTAAACTTCATGAGGTTGGCATCAGCCCACCTCACAAGCGTGTCAAGGTCCCTCTGGATGGCATTCCTTCCCTCCAGTGTATCAACCAAACCACACAGCTTGGTGTCATCGGCAAACTTGCTGAGGGTGCACTCAATCCCACTGTCCATGTCACCAACAAAGATGTTAAACAAGACCGGTCCCAACACCGATCCCTGAGGGACACCACTCGTTACTGGTCTCCAGGTGGACATTGAGCCATTGGCCACAACTCTTTGTGTGCGGCCATCCAGCCAGTTCTTTATCCACCGAGTGGTACACCTATCAAATTGGTGTCTCTCCAATTTAGAGACAAGGATGTCATGTGGGACAGTGTTGAACGCTTTGCACAAATCCAGGTAGATGACATCAACTGCTGTGCTCCTGTCCATCAGTTCCGTAGCCCCACCATAGAAGGCCACCAAATCAGTCAGGCAGGACTTCCCCTTAGTGAAGCCATGCTGGCTGTCACCAAGCACCTTGTTGTTTTTCATGTGCCTTAGCATGCCTTCCAGGAGAATCTGCTCCAAGATTTTGCCAGGCACACAGGTGAGACTGACTGTGTAATACCCTGGGTCATCCATTTTCCCCTTCTTGAACACATACAACTCAAGCAGAACATTCAGTTACCAGGAAGTTTTTCAACTGATTTCTTTATTTCCTACATACAACCGTACTGTGGAAGGAGTGGCAAGAAAAGACAGCAGCAAATATTTTCTTTATAAAAATAAGATTCAAGATCACTACAACTTCCCTCTTGAAAATGTTCCATGTAGGCGTTGGAAAGAAGGAAGGATGCAACTCAGAAGACAGCAGTAGCTAAGCTATGCTAACATACATTCTATGCACAATTACATGTGGACTAGAGCACACCATGAAGTTTAATTCTCCAGAATTCACAGACGTGCCTAGATCACACGGTATTTCCAGAGTAATGCCAAGACTGGCACCACTGAGCAATACCACCTACAAAATTCCCCAAAGCATATGCTAGAATGAAAAACCATTAAACAGGGCAAATGCTTCTGTTTCTATTTCTGGGTATCACAAACCTACTGAACACAAAAAAGCAAAATGACTGTAGGATATTTCCCTTCTCTGTATCTCCTGTTCTAATGCTTTGGGATTTTTATGTCCATGGGTTTCAATCCCATATCATCAAATCACAGAATGAGTTGGAAGGGATGTTAAGATCACGTAGTTCCACCCCTCCTACCATGGACATGGACACCTTTCACTAGACCAGGTTGCTCAAAACCCCATCCAGCCTGGCCTTGAACACTGCCAGGCACAGGACATCCACAACTTCTCTGAGCAACCTGTTCCAGTGTCTCAGCACCCTCATAGTAAAGAATTTCTTCCTAGTATCTAATTTAAATCTGCTCTCTTTCAGTTTAAAGCCAAACAAAACTGTATTCTAACAAAGAAGAAATTAAAATGCTAAACATAAAATTGAAAGCTAGAGAGGTGACCTTTTATATATAAATCTAGATTAGATTAAATTGCAGCTCACCTAGCTGCTAGAAACCAAACTCTCTAAGGCATGACAGTATTGAAACTACACACACATATTAACAAACTGACTAGAATATCCCTAGCAAACATATGGCAATACACTAAAGCAGTTCTAAAAAAAGGCCGAAATTAAGCTATTCAAAGAATATTGTGTGACATTTCTGTTACTGAAAAGGAGCAAGGAGCTTCAATTAGTACACTAATAATTAGGCTACTGATAGTAGTGGCCTGTCCTGGTTTCAGCATAGAAAAGTAATTTAACTGTAATTTGTTTACTAAAAATCCCTTTATTCAGTGTTAAGATTTTTTTGTTTGTTCTGACAATTACAAAGTATTTCAGAACTTGCAGGGTAGGAAACACATGCAAGATTACAAGCAGCACTGTAGAACTTTCTGTTAACCTGTACCCTGTAAGTAGGCTGGTTGCTGTAAATGACAGTGTGCTTTTTTTGCTACAAATGAATGTTTCCATACAACCCGCTCCAACCAGTGGCACTGGTACCCATCTCTTCTACTGCCAGTATTTTTGCCTATTAATACTATAGATTAATTGTGATATTCTTGCAAGTACCACTGTCAGAAACACATTCGCAGGTCTATGAAAAAACAAACAAAAAAGTCAAGTTGCCTAGCCACATCATATAAATGATCAAACTTTCAAGTTAGTTCATTTCAAGGGGAAGCTTCCTGACACTCTCCTTCAACAAAGGCTAAATTGTTGACATTACCCTAAAGGTAAAGAATTTGTGGTACTTATGGAAAATCTCTAATTGCTTCTGAAAAGAAGTTAAACCATAAACAAGATAGTTCATACTTAGCCTAACTGCTATCCACTCCTAAATACTCAGTAGTATTCAAATTCCCAAACTTTTATCATCATTCATACATCCCTGTGATTTTAATACTTTTCTTTGTTTAGAATTTTAGCCTTTACCTGTAGCAAGCTATCATTAACAGACATTCTTCAGGGCATCATACACAAAGCCCAAGAAGTAGGAAAAGATCAAAAGGAAAAGGTGACTCACACTGAAGGAGCTTTCACCAATATATCCATGATTTTCAGAGTAAGAAATGGACTTTTCATGTGCTCTACCAGTAATGTTTTCAAATTTTATTAAGAACAATTTTAGTACAAACCAGGATAAAGACTGAATTGTTCCAGAGAAGAATCCAAGCGGGGGGGGGTGGGGGGGGGGGTGAAGGGGGAGTTACAATCAAATAAACTCAGCATAAAGTTTATGTGTGATTACGCAAAGGAGCTGGCAGTTGGGAACACTCCTGGAACTGTGTGTTCGCATATTCTTAACTCAAGTCCAGCCATTCTAATACCTTAGGATAACAGTTAAAAAAAGACAGATTACATGTACTACAAGACTGCAAAAAGACAGAAATATAGGGGAAGAACAGATATTAATAGCAAGAAGGTCATATCTCAGCACAACTCTTTTGGGTTTTTTTTAAATACAATAGGCTCTAACAAAGAAATTAAAGCAAGAAACAGGTGGACAGAGAATTCTAATCAGATCTTCAGTGTTCTGCTGCTGATTTGACATCAAAAAGGCTCGGAATAAAAGGGTGAGGATTCTAAGTTTTCTGCCTCACAGGGTGAAACTCACAGACCTTCTCCAGTTTTGAATATAACCAACTAATTCGTACCAAGGGAGACTCAGAGACCCTGGATTTTTTAAATCTGACTGTGACAAGATCTTAAGTTATTTGGGATAGGAGGAAAAGAAATCAGTATTACCTCCCCAAAGTATTGAAGAATTTCAGCCTCCATTTCCTTAGATGAAATAAAATAGCTCATCTAGCAGAACAACAAGTTCTGTGTTAAAATACTAGCAAGCACTTAATTATGATAGTTTAATACAGGTTTTTATTTCAAAATAAGAAAACCTCCAAGATCATGTGCTTACTGAAAACCTCTGACCAAACTCTCATTATGCAGCTAGTACAGAACTCTGGTATCCTGACTCATGGTCTAATGCTTCCTTTCATTTTATTCCTATAGTCCAGAAAATTAACAGAATTAATTACTGTTTGCAAGGCATAATGAAAACTTTAGACAGAAATCAACGGCTGGATCTCATAACTACGTATTGGCTAATTCTGACTCTGTTTCAGAATAAATATGCACAACCCAGTGTCAGTATGCAGGAACTCACCCGACATTGTCTGTTCCAGCCTGTGGATCAGTGACTTTTTAGCACATTCAACATCAGGACTTGGGTAATCCAGTACCTGCCTGCACCAAACTAAGGGACTGACACATTTTTGCACTGGAGTCAGTTTCTTCTTTGGGGACGTATATAACCTGAAAAGGAGAAGAACAATAATTATGAAGATAGGCAAAGCAAGCATAAGATCAGGCATGTAACAAAATACCACATACTATGCTATTTCTGTTTTTACACTGTATATACAGTATAATCCAAAATTATACAGAAAGCACAAGTTTTACCTTTAAATTAACTGCTCTGGATACAGTATAATACTGATAACATATGGCTACCCACGGACTTCTGGCAAGAAGTGATGCCTGTATAGCTACACTGGAATACACTGACTGATACATCAAGAAACAAAACAAAAAGCCCCAAACATTTTCAATTTTCAGACACCTTGGGTATACGATCAATTACCCTACGCCACATAAATGTACAAATCAGGATTAATCTCTTCAGATTTAAGCACCATTCACCTGAAAGAAGGAAATAAAGCACTATACAATAAGCAATGGTTGTTTTCCTGAACACAAAGATGTAGTAAATGATATGCATCTTACTAGCCAAGGAACAGTGCAAAAGTCCACAGAACACTTCTACTATTTCAGTAGCCTTGAACAATAAATATTTTACTTTTACTTATAATTTGTATCCGAGCACCTGATCCTTTAGTTTTCCTTTGAACACAGAACAAAGGGACTACCTCTGTCCTAAGGGGTACACAGTCAAGCATTAAAAACAAAGAACAAGAGATAATGCACATAGAGCGAAGAGAAACAATGAGATCATATTGTTCTGCAAGACATGCTGAGGCCTTTGCCCATCAGCATCTCCATTCATTTATTTTTAAATCAGCATTCTGACTGAAGAAAGTATTCTACTCTAAAGGCTCTAGAAATACAGTTGAAAATTTCTCCCCCCTCAAAAAAGAGATTTAAGGGAAAGTCATAACCAATCACACTCTCAAAGTATGGATATTTAAGCCTTATATTTGGACTAGAACCAAACCTGGAAATCTGCTTCAGCAACAGACAAGAGTGAATTGCAAGATCTACGGAGTTCATACAAAAATGGCTAAATGAGTATTTCTTGTAGGAGTAATAACAGACTTCATAGTCAGAGTGGTTGTATGCTACACACTAACTTAGGAACATTTGATAGCTTAATCAGCCATGCTCCCATACAAACCAGGAAAAATTCTTGTTTCCTTTATGCCAATGACATCAGCAACACAGAAGTTATTTTCCATAGAAACTGTCTTTACTTGATTATTAGCTGATCCTTCCTCTGTAATTCTAGACCTTGAACTCAGTTTATTTTATAAAAAGCTTTAAAAGATTTTTTTAATTACTACCCTTAAGGTCTCTTCTTACAAAAGCTTCCCAAGAAGCATGCTCAAAACACTGACCACTATTTAGAGCACGCTCTGAAACACTCTTCCTTCATAAGCACTGAAATTTGAAAGCTATGTCTGCAAATGCAGGAGAGAGGATTTTTATTAGCTGCCATGTTTTCAAACAAAAATGAAGCTGTAACAATGCAAACAGCTACTGCCACACTATAGACCATGTGGCCTTTGCTCTGGCCAGCATCATGCTGGTCATTAAAATTTATGTTTTAGAAAGCCTTACAGCCTTCACAGGCATCCTGTCCACAAGAAAAGCTGAGTCTATCATGTATTTATAGCCCTCAAGATCCTTGGAAAGCACAAGAATCACTCAGTTATTACAGATCTATGTGAACAATTACACAAATTGCTATACTTGCTGCAATTATCTCCTCAGAGTTAAAACAAACATTTTTTACTAGCTCTTTAATACTTCAAATTACTGTCTTTTTAGCATTTATTTGCCTGTACTCTTTTCTGTCCTGAGGTATGTTTATGCAATACTAATAAGTGTTAAAAGCAACAAAGCCAACTTTCGTGCTGTACAAAGTGTGCTAGTAGCTCTCCCTACAGCTGACATGCCTTGCTGTGTTTGAGAAGTTCCATGCACATTTGAAGTGTTTACAGTAATACCCAGTATAACAGGCAAGAAAATAAAGTGTGTGTCCTCTCTGAAAGACACACAAAAGGGCATCTTCAACAAACCTACCTGACTAATCAAAATGGCACCTGGTATTTTAAGCACTTAAAACATTATTTTCTGAAATTTCCAATTGTTGCGTTTCACACATAGTTTATATACTGAAGCAACCCAGGCTCACGCAGCTCCCACTTTTCCACCTCCCTTTCTAACCCAAACATACATTGCAAATTCTCCCACCTCTTTCCAGTCAACTGTTTTTCCTTAAACAGCTTTGTTTCACACCTTACATAAAAAAAACAAAAAAACAAACCAAAACCCACCCGCCCGAGAACTTTAGACTATACATACTTCATGCAACTCCACTACCTCACGACAAACATGTGCATTGATGCAATAACACAACGGCTTTTTCAGGACAGTTTCTTGTACATTCTGCAACTGCAATGTCTCATTATTTTAAAGCAGCGATCTTAATTTCCCACCTGACAAAAAACACCCAATCTCAAGTTTTGAAGCTGACGTAACCCCACTTGCATTGCTTCATTTGGATTTATAAAACCAAAGACCAAGGGAAAGGCTAAAAATCAGAGCGATGCTTTTATTACTTCTTCCTCTCTTCCGAACAGCAGGAAAAGAAAAAAGAGCATAAAGTAGACCATGAAACATGTATAGATAACTAAGTGATCTCTGTCAGACTACAGTTTGACCCAAAAATACAGGTTCTCCTTAGCTGAAGAGCTTTCCAGAAGAGATTAATTCCCATTTGTATCTGTTAATGCATTCTTACAAAATGCAATGGCGCTGACTGGCAACTTTAAGAGTGAGGATTACCCGTATGACTTCATACATCTTGAAACACTACTAAATCACTTTCTCAAAACAGGAAGTTGAAAATCATTGAGGAAGCTGACACCTTACAGTTGCCACCCCCACTACAAATGGTAAAACACCAGAAACCTACACTTCAACTTCTCCACAAGGGAGTAGTAAAGAGTCTACAGTTCAGTGACACACAATCAAACAAAAGAAAACAGTATATAAAAAGAAGCCCAGGAGCTTCGATCTATTTTGAAACAGCTTTAAGAAGCCCAGACACCATGATTCCGCACCCACAGTAATATTCCCTCCTTCAGCTGTCACTAGTCAACTATGCCAATCTAAAGTTTAAAGCAGCCAGGGGCTCTCCCGAGTAGTTCCAGGAAGACGCAGCACAAAAACAGCAGAGCTTTTGCAGGATTACTGTCACTACACACTCATATGATAATGTCAGCCAAATAGGGCAAGCTGCAGCATGTTGCACCAGGACACAGCTGAGTCTGAAAAAGCTTTGAAGAAAGAGGACACAACACTGAGGCAAGAATGGTGTATCTTCCTAGGGATTACCTCATCTGAGGAACACCTCCCAGTGCATTAAAATGCAAGAGGTTAGCTGCCACAGGCATGAAACCAGAAGGCAAGCTTCTAATCAGGAGGAAAGGAGGTGTCTTTTTGTATCAAAATCCTTCTATTGCTCAGTGCAAAAGTGAAAAACATGCAGATGAGTATGAAGTCACAGATCTGAATTAGAAAGAAGATGGCAAGTGGAAGGAACTTGTATTAGAGCTTGTTTATTTTACCTACATTAACCTTAAGCAAAAAGTGGCAGTTACAATAGGGGCAATGAAACAAGAGAGTGGACAAACATATTGCAGGCAAAAGCAGGATCAAGAAAGCTACCTGAAGAGAAGATACAAGGAAAACAATTGAAATCTAATGACAGACTGGCAACAAATTCCCCCGAAATACAGGAGGGAAATTCCACAGTGAAGTGCTACTTAAGTCAGGAGACAATAATATTGGAATGCCTTATAAATAAGACAGCCTAGAATGCAACAGTGCCAATCTAAATTTTTGATCAATCTAAAACTGTCAGGCGATCCTAGCTGA